GCTTGTTTGCAGTATTGGTTTGTCCAGTTTCAGCTACCACTGCATACGCATAGAGAAAGCTGCCTTCTCCCATCCCACCAAGAAAACCACCAAACAAAAATCAAGATACAACATAGGCTCAGAACCGGTTAACAGCTCGATGGGAGTCTTGGAAGTTGGCGGCTCCTGAGTCCTGCATGAAGCTCCCCTCTTCGCGGTGTGAATGAAAGTTAACCTGAACGACTCTGTTGCAGAGCCTGACCCCTGAACTGCACAGAGCCCACAGTCGTCTGGAGGTCGCTTTCCAGTGCCACAGTCGGCCAAGAAGGAGAGCACGGCTGGTCGTCTGGGTTTGCTGTGAATTCTAGGGCTGCACCGCCCCCAGTCAAGCAGCAAGCTCTCGGCCTGTAAGAGTGATCGGAAAAGGAAACTTTGGACGGGGAATATAAACATAGTTGCGTACCTTTTTTCCCAAGATACCATTAGCCACCCGGGTTTCAGACGCGTGGAGGATTTGTTAGTTCTTGGCGGCTGACATACGAATGCTACCTGCGAGAGACCATCCCACAAGCTGCATGGGGCCAATACCCCCTTCTTTTGCCCTTCCAAACACCCCACCCGCCTAATCTCACCCCTTTCCATCCTTAGCCAGGAAAACAGGTTCTTAACTGCAACTGGAAGGAATTTCGTAAACTGTGGGGACGGGAGACAGAGCCCCCCCCCCCCCCGTGGATCATAGGGCCTGAAACAGAAAAGCGGGTGCCCACAGGAGTCGCTTCTCACGAACTGTGAAGGACACGATTGCACTGTTTGTGAATCTGTCTCTCAGAAACACAAGGACCATGGGCTTTTCTCACAGCCGACTTTCTCCTAAATGGTCAGCCAAAGAGATGCGGGGATGTAAGAGTAACGAGTTTCTCCGAGGAAGGAAAGCAGAGGAGCTCTGGGCCAGGTTTTGGGGGACATTTTCATTCTCAAGGCAATCCCCTTTCCTTCCTGGGTCACCTAGCCACCCCATCCCAGTGCCACTCACACATTCTGGTATTATTTGGTTCTGGGCCCCCGGTTTCACTCCAGTGCACATCGAGGGCTGAGATCTAAATACTCATTTGATATAGCGCGGTAATCCTTTTCTCATATTTGATGGGAATGTTTTCCATATCCCAGTATTTGACAACATCTCCCTATAGGGACAGGTTTGTATTTATGTTGGTAAAATGTCCCCTGCCTCAAAGTCTATTGTAACCCAACACCTGACAACCCCGAGTCCCATTTCTGTTTGCAGAAAGGGTTTATTCGAGCACGTAATGGGATCCCAGCAGAAAGCCTTTCAGAACAAGGGGCTATGGTAAACTTCACCACATGAACTCCGTTTCCAGGGCTATTAAGCTTTTAATTGGAAAATAGCAGAGGAAATTTCAAGGTGACTATAACGTGTTAGCAGTTAGTTCAGAGAAGAAAGCCCATGCGGGAATGAATGTGGAAAGCATATGGTCCGAATCACATTTAGGAGGAGCGGCCTGCTTGACTAAGTCCCTGCAGCTTATGCACTTATGGGAAAAATCATCAAAGAAATTGGAAAGGGAGGGGGAGGATTACAAGCAAAAGTAACCTCACTAGACTACACCCACTCCCAGCTCCTCTGGGTGCAGCGCTAGTGTTTTCAAACCACAATTAACAGGGTAAGATATGGCAGGTATTAATACTGAATGGGGTTGGGGAAAAAACCGGCTATGCGCTTGCTCCTTCTGGAGCAAACGCAGCGATTTGAGGCGTGAATATCTGAAGGCCAGTGTTGAAGGCCAGAGTTCTTGTTGAGAAAGTGCTGGTGTCTGATTTCAAATCTGGGGGTCCTGATAGGTGTCGTCCACCTCCCACCCAACAACAGTCAATCAAAGGACGATTACTTACTGTGTTGGATGTAAGACACACTGAGACATCTGTTCGGTGTTCTCACGCAGGGGGAAGTCGGAGTTTCTATTTTGTTGGCGATGTCGCGAACAGGGTTACTTCGGTGGTGACAGGTGCGGGGGGGGGGGTAAGCGTATTGAAAAAAAAAAACCTGTACAAGCAGAAGAAAAGACACCCCTCTGCCTACGCAGGAACCTAGCAGAAGCCAGTCTGCCCTCACCCAGTCAGTGTCTCTTGGTATCTCTCTTTAGCCAGCTTCAAGTTAAAGGAAGGTGGGGTGACTGGGGTTTTGAGGCGACAGTAATGTCCTTGTTCTCTCCCAACTGATTGACGAGAGCCCCAAACTCAGTCCTTATAGTATCCCCGGAACCCCTCTCTGGCGACCCGACCAGTTGAGGACTACTGACTCTGGGGGATGCCTTGAGTAAAGGGAGAAAGGGTCTGGACCTACCCACACTGTCTCAGTGGGGAAGAAGACATGAAGTAGGAGCTGGCTCTCTTTGGACTAAAAGACGTTCAGCTTCTGGATGGAGAGAGGGCTCACTGTGTGCTGCCCTATCCGAGTTCTAGAACTCTCCAAGCCAGCAAAGGCTCTGGCCTGGGGATACATTCCTCACACTCAGCCTGAACTAGACTGCCTGGTTTCAGCTTTTCGGGGGGGGGGGCGGGAGAGTTTCTCCTGGCATCACCTCGCTCAAAGGTTTCTAAGGGTCTTCAGACGGGTGACTACACCCTCTCTGGCACCCCCACACAGACACCGTCCTGGGCGGGGGAACAAGTTTTCAAACTGTTTTGGAAGGGTCCTTTTGCTTTAGTGTGCATCTAGGGGGCGAACCGGGTCTCCTGCCAGGTAAACTTTATAACAGCTTTATAACAGGTAGACTTTATAACAGCTCAACTACACAGCCGTTCTGTAGAGTTTTAATAACCAAAGATTGAAAAAAAAACAAAAAAACCGAGCCAGGTAATTTGAGTAACGTTCAAGGGACAAAGTAAACGTTTCCCTTCCGTAGGTCATTAGCCTGAAGCGCTAGGTGGACTTCTCCACGACTTTTTTTTTCCAGAAAATTCTCTCCCAACTCCTCCCCATCCCATCCCTCCTCCCTTCTCGCGAAGCGAAATAAAACCTAGGCAGAGCAGAGGGAAACTTCCCCTGTAGGGAACCAGGGCCAGCAGCCAATCAGAAAGAACAGGCGCGCTGCCAGCACCGTTGAAGAGTGGACTCTACTCCAGGAGTTCGAAATTGGGGAACACCAGAACCACCAGGGCCTGGGGTACCCGCGCCCTTCATAGGACCACTGTCCGCTTAGAGCTCGCCCCCTCCCCCCCGACAATGCAGCCTTAAGGGGCGACTTCCGGCGAGCGTCCCCGCCCCCCGCACACCTTGGCTCCTCCCACCACCTTCGCTCCGCCCCCTAGCCGTGGCGAGGCTCCACGGAGGCGCCGCCGCCGATGGGTGGAAGTTTGTGCGTCTATTCCGAGTGTGGGCGGGAAGGAACGAAGGAACTTCACGGTTGCTGAGTGGTGAAGACTAGAGGCCGCTAGTCTTCGCCCACATCCCAGCTGTGTCCACCCTGGCTATATCCACGCCCTTGATTAGCGACCCTTCCAGTCCCAAAGGGAGCCGAGTGGGAATCCAAACGCCGCGTGGGAAAGTGACCCAGCACTGCCGAGTCAGCAGAGCAGAGGTGCTTGACTTCCCGCGTGGGCAGGCGTCTTCTAGCCGACCTGTAAAACAGCAGTGTGGGAGAACCACGCCGTGCCGGCGACGCTGGCACACTGGGTTCATCCACTGTGCCATCTAAGTCCGTGCACAGCAGGCATGGATCTGCTGCTGCGGTGGCCCTGGACCGGGTTCCGCTGCACACTCTACCCGCTCGTGGTGTAGGAACCCAGTGGCCTCTGCTCGGTGGGTAGCATTGAAACGACCGGGTAGGGGTACCCTGCGACCCCAACCTCAGCGACAGCTCTCTCTTAACCCTGCCAGCCTGCCTCAGTTTCCCTGGCGGGGTTTGCAGACAGCTACCCAGGAACGACCCCGCACCCCCACTTGCGCGCATGTGTTCACTTTCGCTTCCCACACACACACTATGGAGAAAGTGCCCTTGCTGTTAGAATCTGGGCGCCTCGAATGTGTTGTTAAAAATCCCGCTGCTTTTGGCGGGCTAGACTTATTCTGAACTGGTTCTACCCTGTTCTGAACAGACCTCCTCCTCCTTAGCGACCAAGAATAAATGCAAAGGTCGCATCAAAGCCGTTCTACTGCTGACAAGGCCCACTCTTCCTTACACAGATATTCTTCAGGATTTGCCAGCCTGTAGCCAGGTGTGGCCTGAAACCTTCACCCCGACGGTACCACTGGGAGTAACCTGGTCTGGCAGTCCCCACCAGAGTCCCAAATCCTGGATGCCGCGCGTGCACTGGGTTTTGGGCGAGCAGGTGGATGGACATCGAAGCATTTTCCCACGGGACCAGCATTGACGGCCTCCAGACACAGACACACGCACACAGACACATGCACACAGACACACGCACACAGCGCTTATGGGGGTTGGTGAAGGGTCAAGCCCCCAGCCTAGCCACTATAAGGAACCTCAAGACTAAAGCCGGGTACCAAGCCATGGAGACTGAGAAGGGAGGGGGCCCCAACCATGGCAGCACCTCGCCTGGGGCAGCGACAGCCCTCACGTGGGGAGCCACCAGGAATCGCGCCCCTTCCCCGCGCTGGCAGTCTCCGCTGTCGTCGCCACAGTAGCTACAGCTGCAGAAGGGCACAGGCTGCAGGAGCAGCGGTCTGACAAGCGTGATAAAATGATCTTCCTTAACTAAACTCGTAAAGCACTGGGCAATAAAACTCAATCTTCTGTAAAATCCAATTAAGTCATTATCTGACTGATTGTATCTTTAATTGAAAACAGAAGTGACAGTAAATTTCTGTGATATATCAGGATCAATCGATACCGCTATACGATTCAGTCCCAAGAAGTGATTTATAATGTCAAACCTATATAGGTAACTCCACATTATTCTCTCTAAAACCACTGGTGGATGAAATTAAGAGTAAGTGCATTTAATAAAAAACAAGATGGTCAGGTTATTGATTACAACAGATGGGGGTGAAATCAAATAGATGTTTTCAAAGCACCGAGCGAAAAAAATACAAGTAATTTCTTTTTTCCCTGTTTAATGCGGCTCCCCAAATATACACACAAGAAAATGCGGTCATCAATAACGTTTTTATTTCAGGTACAGCTGCAACCACACACCACAATTAATTTTTTTAGACTAGTTTCATCTCACGATGGCTTCTGTAACATGAGGAAGTACTCCAAAAGCAATTTTTAACAAAATAATGAACTCAAATTTCAGTGGTAACTTTTAAAGATGTACTTATTTTCCACTCAGATTACAACCTAAGGTTACAAAACCGTCTAGATTGCGTCCATTTTTCCCCCTGTAGTAAAAAAAATGTACACGTTAAACTCATTCTAGGAACGCCACCCAGGAAATTCCTGGCCGGGTTATTTCACGTAGTACTGCTTTTAAGTTACCCTTTACTGGAAAAGTTGTGTTGACGCCTTGAATAGTTTTCTCTCCCTGTATTTCAGTTATGTTTGGATTTGGAGTGTGTGATACAGCTATATCCAACAGCAACACAGAAACAGTGTCCCCATTTACTTTCTGCAGAGTTCTAAAGTAATTTTGCCTGCTCTTCTCTCTGGTCAAGGACTTGGCTAAATTTATATTTTCTAGGTTTCATTAAAATCCTGAAAACTTTATAACAATCTAAGGCACTTAAGATTTCATTTTAATTCCAAAAGTAGCATGTAATTGTAACTAAACTTGTGCGTTGTGCGGACAATTAGTTTCTCAGGAAGGGGTGGAGGGCAGGAGTGGGGAAGGAGAGATTACTGTTTAAACTTGGTGAGCCAGGCACTTAATTCTCGCAGTCGGTAGTCTGGAATCCTACACTGCTCCAAGTGTTTTAACCTAACTCTAAGGAATATGAACCAAAACTTCTGAACGGAAACAATCAAATCAAATAACAACAAACCCTGCCGATAACAGAAAACCCTTCTACTACCCAGCGGGCACCGCGCCGACCTGCGGCTCACTCGTCGTCGTCGTCTTCCAGGACCTGGTTGACTGGGTAGCTGCTGGGCTCAGAAGGTCCAGACTCGCATTCCAGAACTCCCTTCGTGCTCTCGTTGCTCATCGGAGAGCTGCTGGAGAGGGAAACCAAGCCAGAATCTTGACTGCTGGGCGGCGAGAACACTGGAAAGTGAGGGGAGAGAAAGTGTGTTTAAAAAAAAAAAAAAGTCCAGTCTTTCTTCAGTATTCAATTATGTTCCAAAGAAGGGTCAGGCACTCCGTCGTTTCCATTCCAAGTGTTTTTATAGCCCCTCCTCGGAACCCCTCCTTCACTTCCTCAGAGTACGAGTCAGTCACGTGGACAACACATCTGCTCAACTGAGGAGAAAGTGAGGCAGCAGAATCCCAGACTTAGGGTTCATTGAGAAGCAACCACAAAACATCACTCCACCCACTCTGGAAGACTTTCCACCCCTCCCCATTATGTAAATGATGCTAATGAATCTCCTCTCCTAGAGAGAGATCCACACCTGAGGAGTGATCCCTAGTCAGGACTCCACCCTCTACACTTTAACCCCAGGAAAGGCAAGATTCAGCAGGTGAATTGGGCAGCCGGTCACCTCTCTTCTTAGTTCTCCGGGCTACCACTGGGCAACAAAAGTAGGGGAGGGGTGGTCAGCATGCATAACTATAAAGAAGGAAAAGGCAGAAGGGATTTAATAGGAAAAGATGGATTAGATCATACTGAAACGTGAGATTTAAGAGACTAGTCTACAAACATGAAAATTCCACTGGGAAACTGACCTTAAATATGAAGGATACAAAAATAATAATGGACCGGACAATTTTTTTTTTTTGCAACTTCAGAAGCCACAGTAGATACAAAATTTAAGCAAAAGGGTCTCTGACCTTCTTAACCTTAGTAGAGTTCAGATCCACCCCCAAGAACTCCCTTCATGCCTAGTGTGAATGTAATTAAGGGGAAGCTGCCTCGGTAATTTCTCTCCTCATTAACTTCCTGATTGGTTTCGGCCTCAGGATTCTGCCGGGCAGTCGTTTGTCACCAATTCCAAATGGCCAATCGTTAATACTAATGTTTGTGTAACTAACTGCCAGCATCTGCCACGGCTTCTTGTACGACAATAATGGTGAAAGGGTACATTAGTGCTCCTGTGTTAATTCAGCTTGTGTTCATCAATAGGGAAATCTATGATGTAATTAGCAAAATGCACTGGGAGCTGAGTGCCCAAGTCATTTGTAGAGAACTAAATCATAGTGGAAGCTGAACTGGGTCCTGATGTGTTTGCCATCAATACTTATTATGTTTGGAATTTAATAAGGTATATTACCATGCTGAAAAGAGACCTTCTTACAAGAGAACACTATTTACCCTCCTCATGGGTTTGGAAATGGATGGCGCCACTTCAGTGCCATGCAGAAAGAGCAGGACCGAGATCAAGAAGAGGACTTTTAACCACTCTGCCCAACCATACTACACCCCAAAGCTCCAATGGGACACTGACACAGACACCTCGGCATCCAGCAAGGAAAGAGACCATCTGAAAACTCAGTGAGGATATAAATTTGAGGAACAATTAGGCAATTTCCTAACAATTCATTCTGAGTTGAAGGTATGTTTACTTTTCCTTAAGAGATGGTGTTTTATAAACTTAAAAAAGTCATCAAATAATATTTTACAGGTGTCCAAAGAGCAGGTGTGCACATATATAAATACAACAAAAACAACACACATACACACACACAAAATGGGAACTCCCCTGAAGAGTTCTTACACTATTAAGAACACAATCGCTTCTTACTAAATTCTGATTGTTCCATGAATTTCAATATTCTTTACAAGTCATATGCAAATGGCCCTCATCAAATACATACACAAAGAGATGCTGTCCAGACACTAGATTTTTGCTCAGAGATCATCTTAGGAGGCATATCTGAAGAACAGATTGGAGCCTATTTCTTCATCTGCTTATTCTCACACCCGACACCAAACCAGGGAGTTGTCTGTCTCCAGACCAAGAGGAAGGGAGTGAATGTTTGCTGCCTCTGCTCCTGAGGCCACTTACTACAGTGACATGCTTCCCCTTCAGGTCATTCACCAGATTACTCTCCCTTTTATACACAGAGGACCCCAAGACTCTGGTATGCGCTTGCCCCTGCACCAGCTTATTTTTGGTTATCACACCTGGAAACTGGCTACTCAACCTTTCGGGTCCCTGTCTGAGATTAAGGGACCAGACTACCTGTCCTCAGACTGATGCAGAGGCTTATGGGAGTTAAGTAAGGGCCTCCAGTGAACTGTGAGGAGCTGAAGGAGGTGCCCTCGTCCCTTCTCATTCAGCCGATTTAGCACTAAGAAAGGGAGGAGTGGGAATTTTGTCAGAGAAGAATTTGGGACAGCCTCTTTTGTCTCCACTGCCCTTTTTATCCGTCAACTGGAACCACAAACATGCTCCTACTGAGGCTCTCTAGGCACGTGGACCGAGTTCCAGAGAGGAAGCAAAGAAATGAACTCACTCTGTCTGGAAAAGCACCAGTATTTTTCTTAAGTGTTTCTCCAGTCCGAACTTAAAGCCATGTTATTATTACATCTGTCCAAGGATTAGTATTGTCTTTGAATGAGGGGATGTTGACATTAACGTCACAATCTGTTTAATTCATTTTGGATAGCACCTCATCAATGTCCCAAGTGCCCACAAAGACTTGGTCTTGTTATTGACAGATGCACAAAATCTGTTTTATTAGCAGCCTTAAATACTGTCCTTTGGGGTACCCATCCATTTAAACAAACTTTAATGAACTTTTCTGGAGGCAAAAGTAGCAACTGTGGTGGTAAATGATTTAGTACCAATTCGACAATTAAAAAACTTGCCAGGATCCTTTTTTGCTTTTTAAGTTGACTCTCATGGGCCCTGCAGATGACTAGTTTCCACTCAAAAAGCCTGTCTGTTGTCACTTGGCAAACATGCTGCTGACTCCACAATGAGGGAACACAGGCAGCAGTGCTACAACCACGAAAAGAAATTGGCTCAATCTTTCTGGACAGCAGTCTAGTGATATGTGACAAGAACCGTAAAACTATTCATCCCCTCTGACCTGATAATTCTACTCTGGAGAATAACCTAAAGCAAGAGTAATTGGTCTGGAGATGCTCAACTCACATCATCTTCACTGACGATGCTACGGCTTCGCTCTTACGCATGGGGGAGAGGGCAGCTGCAGGGGAAGGGGCAGAAAGCATTAGTAGCAAATGTCAATTAGGGATCCTACTTCCCTGTGAGCACTGGACCTTCTCAGAAACAGAAGAAATGAATTAAAGCCTAGACTGCAGAGGGAAGGGAAAACCTCAGCCTCCTCATCTGTCCTTCTGTCCCAGTAAGGGGTCCTAAGCCAAGGAGGCTGGCCCTTGTGTGAACCAGCAGGTCTAGGGCCTGCTTCCTCTCAAGCCTCCAATTAGGATTACAGCATCGAAGGGCTAAAAACAAACACATCTTACACATCACAGCTCTTGCCAACATGGAGAAAACCCTTAAGATGGTTTCAGCGATGCTATCTAAACAGAGTATTCTTTTGGAGACATAATACACACTGCAAAGAAGGTAAAAAAAAAAAAACTAACTAAAAATAATAAAGCAAAACCACTCTGTCTTTCAACATTGCAAAGACCCCTGACTTTTAACTTGAATGATCTGTTGGAATGAAGTTGATGGCTTGGAACGAATAATTCTCTATCGGTGATGTGAGAAAACACATGATATTCATGCCTAAAGAAAAAACAAAACAAAACAAAACAAAAAAAACCCGTTTTCCCTCTGTAGGTTAAACACTATCAAAGTCTTACTAAGAAACCCTTCGAGAATAAAATGCAAATGGCATTCCCTGGGGCTATGGGGCTCTTTACCTGCATGCCACTGCCAAGGGGCACTAAAGTGCTGGCCTCTTGCTGGTCTGTGGGCTTAAAGGAATCTGATGAAAAGCAGTGAAAATGTCTTCAACAACAAATTCTTCTGCTTCACGATAACCATAGTGTTTGGAAATAAAATCGTGTCCAATCAATACCACTTAGCAGATATTTAATGTTTCACAATAGAACACTCTTCCAGAGCGGGGCTGCGGCCCTTCTCACTAACATTGAAAATAATTAGGATTATCTCAGCTGCCGGAGCTGGCAGGATCAGTTTGTACTTTCAAACAGCATTAATTCTTGGCACTCAGAACAAGGGATGAAAGGTAAAGACCTGAATGGAGGGCTTTCTTCCACCTGATCTATCAGGATTAGCTCATTCTTTTCCAGTTCATGCCTGCGCTCCAGTTAAGAGGAAGGCTGAGCTGTAACTGATGTAATTAGAAACCACAAGCTGAGAAAAAAATAGCCCATTATTAATCTCCCCATTTACTAGAAATTTACTAAAAAAAAAAATAAAATAAAAGTAATAATCTTTGAAACAATTAAGTGTGTTTTCCCCCTAAGTGGAATTAAAGGCTAGCAACTAGAGCTGAAGGGATGTATTGGGTAATTCATTCCTTAAATCTACATCTTACCTGTCAGGTCCAAACTCTGGGGCCAGCTCTGCTAAAGTGTATTGACATGCTGCTGCCCCACCATGGTAAAAGGATGGGTCCAGAACTTGCTGCACTTCCTCCTCTTCAAGGGATTATTCCAACCCTTCCAAGCACTGGGGAGTATGGGTTAAACGTGATGGGAGCTGACACCAGGAAACACTTGTCTATGGGATAGTGACCATATTTCTTTCCTTCTACTCATGTTACTTAACCATTCGTACACAATTCACAAAATGACAGAATGTTTTAGTTCTCGAAAACTCACAGGCCTACCAAACACCTTTCTGTTCTCCGCCAGGAGAGCACTGTCTGGGAGTCCACCCAGCTATGTCCACAGCCCACCTCGCCCTGCTGGGACTGGCCCCTTTGTTGCTGGAGGTCAGAGCTAACACACCTCCCGGGATGTCCCCTTTAGTGTGGTCAACTTGATAGAATCTGGAATCACCTGGAAGGCGATTCTAGACCTCTGGGCACACCTGAGAGGGATTGTCTGGGTTGGGTTAGTCTCTGAGCACGCCTGGAGGGGGATTATTTTGATTGCATTCATTGAGAGGTGAGAAGCCCCGCCCACTGTGGGTGGTGACATTGCCTAGCTGGGCTCA